ACTGATTGACTTGCTATGTTCAATACCACTTGTTACTGATTGACTTGTTATGTTCAATACCACTTGTGACTGACTGACTTGTTGTGTTCAATACCACTTGTGACTGACTGACTTGTTATGTTCAATACCACTTGTCATTGATTGACTTGTTATGTTCAATACCACTTGTGACTGATTGACTTGTTATGCTCGATACCACTTGTGACTGGTTGACTTGTTATGTTCGATACCACTTGTCATTGATTGACTTGTGAATGATTGACTTGTTATGTTCAATACCGCTTGTTACTGAAACACTATCCACCCTACCCCCGTCAAATGACTGGGCAGACTTATGTGCCGGCCCATGGCTCGAAGAACACTGACTTCAAGTATATTCAGTTGTCAAAGTTCTACAACATTTTCTAAACAGTCGCCCCCTCCTCCTTCCAACCCAAGTACATTTTTTCTACAGCATTAACTGACGATCTAGAGATTAGGTGGATGATGCATAACGTAAGAAAGCTGGGGAGGGGGATTGTGGGAAAAAAGAGGGGGGGGGGTGGGGGTGGTAGAGAATACAATTTTGCAAAAAATGTCATGACTGGACTCATATTTTAATAGTAAACTTCACGTTCAAGACCCAGAAATGCGGATAAATTAAAGTTCAAAGCAGTAAAGACAATGAGGAAGTTTAAAATCTCGGAGGGATGTGTGTGAACTACGCTCTGTAAAGCAGTGAATTCATCTATTTCTGTTCTTACTATTGATCAGTTTTACTTGGAAAACACTGACCATACTGGTAATAATTTAAGTTTAATTTTAAAAAAATGATATACATAACAAAAAGAGGAAGAGACATATGAACTAGTTAAACCAGTCAGTCAGAAGCATGTCCCTTGCTCCCATAACAACCTTTTTGCGATAGGCAGATGATTTCATCGACACAGACAATGGCTATAGCTCCGACTAGTACAGTCACTGTCGAGAAGGAAAGAAATGGCAAACTACCTTCTGCAAAACTTGCCAAGAAACCATAGCACGTAAGTTATATAGACAAATTAATTAAATTAAATAAAGCTGTTTTATTTTGGGAACAAAAAGATTTTCCAAGGAACAGCGATTAGTTTTGATCACGGCCTTCTCTATTTATTATTATAGAAGGCAGTGGTTTTGATCACCAGAGCAAGATTTCAAACCAGTAACTGAGATATCATGTTCGCTTCGGTGGTCAGAACTGTTTTTGAAACTGTCGTCAACACTTGATAATAATATACTGTATTTTTCCCATTAACGCCCTGATTATTTGACAGTTTACTATCAAAGGTTAGACTACAATTTCATTAAATTACTTTAGCTTTTAATAATGATTTCATTATTATGTATACCACTGGTGGAGGTTTGAGCGGTGGAATGGCGGTGGAATTGAGTGTACAGCAGTGTTCTTCAATCAGTGCGCCGCCAATCAAAAATCTGCTTCGTGGTGTGTAAACGTCAATAGTTCCGCCCCCCCCCCCTTTCCTAAGTCTATAGAATTAACATGTCAAGGACTTACTTTCGTGTGGAAAGGCATGTCATTAGTAAAACCTAAACACATAAATAGAACGCGTGTTATTGGAGCACTTCGTATTTCAAAAATAACGATCCAGCCAAATATATTCTATTTTTCAACGTTTGAGCAGCAGCAAATGTGTTATAAGCAAAATTTTTAAAAATCGGATCACAACTCTTCTCCCCACCCCCCACCCCCCCCCCCCCCCCCCCCCCCCCCCCCCCAACACCCTAATAAAGTGCTATTTACATTTTGTTTTTGTGTGTCAGGTTTTTTTTAGCATGAGGGCCTCCAAACAATTCCCACTATTTTGGTATGCTGTGGATGAAAATGTACAAAGGCTGAGGAACATTGGTGTATAGATTCAAGCGTGCTATTGCGAATCTATTATTTAACCAATAAAAATTGCGATACATCCGGGTGTGATTTCATACTGCTAGAGTCTAGACCATACGCATGAAACCAAGATTAAGTGTCATCATCGTGATGTTATGAAAAAATCAAAACCCAAGTTGGAACGTGATGAATATACTGATGTTGAGTGGTAAATTCTGATATCATCTCATACAGACTGCTTGCCCTAACTATGAAGTCTGAACGTAACTTGAATATACATATAAAACACCCTTTTCACCTTTATTGAGGAGCGTCCCAATTTTAAAGACCATCAGCATCTGTTTTCAATATTTTTACTTACCCAGGAAGCCCATCCTGATACCATTTTAGGCTCGATCTCGACGTCTCATGTACAGACAGTCTCCACTAAGTCAGTCTTTCGAATCTTTGCTCGCAACGCCTTAGCCACGGACGCCGCTAACGTAATAGTACTAATACTGAGACTCTGGCTATCTCTTTCGCCTCGTGCACTTTCGTATTCAATAAGTCGGCTATCTTCCGAATAAGGGTCCTAAATTATCGAGGCGCAAAATATACCCTAACAGAGCCTCAGTCACATGTCAATTGCGCACTTCTGTCGTCTTAAATTGCGCTTTTCCGACGACTTCTGCCACCGCCAAGAGTATCCCCTAGTTTAGCCCCAATCCACACCGCATGAGCGGCGTGGGGGATACACTCGGCGGTGCCGGAAGTTTGCAATTCGGCTGTGGCCATAAGTGACACATGACTGAGGCTCTGTTAGGGTATATTTTCCGCCTCAATAATTTATTACCGTTATTTGAAGGATAGCTTATAAGTTATAAGTCCCTAATATCCTGCAGCCATCTTCATGCTTGTCGGCCCTGACACCTCTTACCTTGCTTTGTGCTTTTAATTATTTTGGAACAAGGACATAGTGACGGAATCACTAGGTGTTTACGGTATACGTAAGGGAGACAATCTATCGTTTGTGTACTTTCACATTATTTTCTTTCATATTTAATATTGCAGTGGTTTGAGTAATTTTTAGGGTTAGCCCTAACCCTAATTTCAAACAATATTAATTATGAAATTATATTATTATTATGTGAACTTCCACAAAGAATTAATTATGTCCCCTGGGGTCACTGTATTGTTCTTAGTAGTGAACCCGTGTTTCATCAGCGATCACGATTCATTCCAAGATACTGGGATCAGCTTTATAATTTTGGAACAACTGTGTAGCCACTGACGCACTGCTGCTGACGGCCTTTCGGCAAAGATCAAAGTGTAGCTCTGCTTCACTGGGTCTGTCCAAGAGGACCGGGATTGGTCACGGGTGAAACCCAAACAGCAAAATCATCTAAAAAAATTTGCCTGGCAGTTTCCTCATTCAGTCCGGATTACCAACGTAATATCTTCGGGTAGTCGGGTGGCCAGGCTGGGCATTTGGGAGACCAACCTGAAAAGAAAAAAAAAATGATGCTCAGCTGTGAGTTTCTTGGGTATTCACCTCGTACAGACTTTATGGTACCCTAATTCATCATGGAGTTTTCCGCATGCAGATATGAAACTGATGTCCAGGAGATATGCCACTTGGGCTGTTGTGATTCTTTGATTGTCCCTGATTATGGTTTTCACCGGTTAGATTTTTTCATTGGGGCCAACCAATTTGACTTTTGTCCGTTAAAACTTTCGCGTCCAAGTTTAAAATGGTCTACCCACTCCTACACCTTTCATTTCATGGTGCCTGCTCCATTTTGAACTAACAGCTGATGGTGGTGTCTGCCAGTTTGACTCTCTCTGCTCACAGAAAGTGCACTACAGTGCACTGTTCTTCAGTGGTGCATTCGTAGAGAGGTGAATCCATACATGTGACTTTTTGGCTCTACGTCACTTGACTGAATGGGGCAGTTATGGATACTCATACTTCCAAGTCACTTGACTGAATGGAGCAGTGATGGAGACTCATACATCCAAGTCACTTGACTGAATGGGGCAGTGATAGATACTCATACTTCAAAGTCACTTGACTGAATGGGGCAGTTATGGATACTCATACATCCAAGTCACTTGACTGAATGGGCCAGTGATAGATACTCATACTTCAAAGTCACTTGACTGAATAGGGCAGTGATGGATACTTATACTTCCAAGTCACTTGAGTGAATGGGGCAGTGATGGAGACTCATACTTCCAAGTCACTTTTAATACACACATGGTGATGCCCACACACACAGTCTTTGTTTATTTCTGCAAAAATATGAAACCTGCAAAAATATAAAACCTGCCCCAAAAAAAAATATTCCTTTAATTTTTTATAATGTTTTTTACTCTTGTAATTTCATTATTGCACCACATTGATTGTCTACTGCAAAGTGACCAAAAACATTTCTCTTCGGGTAAAAGTAAGAAGTAAGTTACATTCTTTGCTCTATTTTTATATAATGATTACTTCCCTCCATGTAAAAATTAATTGTTTCCTGATCTATATGTGTAAACAAACTTATTGTTTCCTGATCTATACATGTAATGATTAGGAAAAATGAAACAATTTTGAGTGACTTGACATCACCAAAGAAGCAGAGGACTTTTTGGCTGCCTGACTTAGGGGTTCAACTCCCTGGATATTTCTAGATACTGACCAAGACTCAAAATTTCTTCTTCTTTTTCTTTGATCCTAGTTTCTTAAGGTGGAGTTTCAGAGAATTATAATTTTGCATTAAAAAATTTTTTTTTTACATTTGAAGGGGAAAAGATTATTTTAAAGATTTTTACAGGATGAAAGGGTTAAACATCTTTCAACATTTTAGAGCAATTATAAAATAACTTTCTGTAAATGTCAAAGTAGCAACACTATTCATTTCATTATTCATGACTGCATTTTTTTGTTTTCAGTTTGGTAAATTTCATTTAGTGATTAGTGATTAGAAATGATTATTATCACACACTCCGGACAGATCCATAAGTGCTCTGATCTTCTCCTCAAAAGCTCTACAAGTGTAAAAGGACTGATGACGCCTGTTCTGTATATTCTGTAAATTTAATTTGGTCTGTTTCAACAGTTGTGCATAAATTAAATGTATCATTTTTGTCTGTTCTACTTATAGATATAATGGAGGATTCTGAACAATCAGTGGATGATTTGTCTGATTCATCGCCGTTGAAGAAGAAAAACAACCGCGGACAGTTTAGTAATTCTAAAGATACTTGCGGTATTGATACAGTCCTTGGAGGTACTGAACCTGATCCAGAAATCAGAGCTATAGATGGTGATAACATGGATGATTCAAAAGATTTTGAGGTTGATGAAGATATTGTAGATGATGGAGATGAGGAAAGAGATATTGACGATATTGAGGAAGCAGAAGGTGACGACTCAGGATCATTGCAAAATAAATCACAGTCAGGGGTTGATGCATTCGATTCATTTGAATTTGTTCACAAAGATGCCAGCTCTTCCAGTTCAGACAATCTAAAGGTTTGTTTTATCTTAATTATTTAGAACAATATAAAGTTACCTTGTTGTTCACAATAAAATACCTACTTTTAACATCCATCTCCTTCTGTTGTCATGTGCAAATAATATACCTACTTTTAACATCCATCTCCTTCTGTTTGTCCATGTGCAATAGTATACCTACTTGTAACCATCCATTCTCCTTTATGTGTCATGTGCAAATAATTATACCTACTTTCTACACCATCTCTCTTGTTGTCATGTGGAAATAATTCATATGTGCTTATTATTACTCCCTCAAACATAATATACCTACTTGTCCACTCCTTCTGTGTCAGTGTACTTATACTACTTTTTAACATCCATCTCCTTCTGTTATGTCATGTGCAAATAATATACCTTGGCTTTTACATCAATGCTCCTTTGTTGTCATGTGCAAAATAATATACTACTTTTAACATCCATCTCTTCTGTTTGTCATGTGCAAAATAAGTAGTACCTTTTAACATCCATCTCCTTCTGTTGTCATTGCAAATAAGTATACCTACTTTTAACATCCATCCTTCTGTTGTCATGTGCAAATAATATACCTACTTTTAACATCCATCTCCTTCTGTTGTCTCATGTGCAAATGTAGACCTACTTTTAACAATCCATGCCTTCTGTTGTCATGTGCAAATAACATCCTCTTTAAACATCATTCTTCTGTGTCATGTGCAATAATATACCTACTTTAAACATCCATCTCCTTCTGTTGTCATGTGCAAATAGCGACCTAGAACATACATCTACTTCTGTTGTCATGTGCAATAATCCTACCTACTCCTTCTGTTGTCATGTGCCATAATATAATACTTTTTAACATCCATTACTTTGTTTCATGTGCAAATCTCCTTCTGCTGATGTCATGTGCAAATAATATACCTACTTTTAACATCCATCTCCTTCTGTTGTCATGTGCAAATAATAGGCCTACTTTTAACATCCATCTCCTTCTGTTGTCATGTGCAAATAATATACCTACTTTTAACATCCATCTCCTTCTGTTGTCATGTGCAAATAATATACCTACTTTTAACATCCATCTCCTTCTGTTGTCATGTGCAAATAATATACCTACTTTTAACATCCATCTCCTTCTGTTGTCATGTGCAAATAATATACCTACTTTTAACATCCATCTCCTTCTGTTGTCATGTGCAAATAATATACCTACTTTTAACATCCATCTCTTCTGTTGTCATGTGCAAATAATATACCTACTTTTAACATCCATCTCTTCTGTTGTCATGTGCAAATAATTTACTGACTTTTAACATAGATCTGTCTTCTGTTGTTGTCTGCTGCTGACATTCACATCTTACTTACCTTAGTCACTCCTCTTTTAACATCCATCTCCTTCTGTTGAGGTTTGCCTAATTTAAAGATCGGCAGACGTCTCTATCATATACCAGTTTTCTTTCTGTGCTTTGTAATATTACCTTCCAGTCCATCTCCTTCTGTCAGTTAATGAATGTCGGATGTTGTCTTCCTTGGGTCGTCATGGAGGTCTGGTTCTTAGCCTCCCATGCCTGCCATGGTGGCCGATTTTTCTCTCCTGTTCTGCATACAATGTCCTAAAACCATCGTAACTGTCACTAATCCCACACGGGTTTGTTGTGAACTGGGTATCAAGATCTTGACATACTGTCTGATTGCGGACTTTGTCCCTTCTTGTCACTTGGACAACCTTTCTCAGATATCTCATTTCCTACTTTTAACTGCATCTGGCTTTGTGTGAGCTGTTGTCATATGCCATGACTCTCACCCATAGGTCAGGACTGGGTACATAGTAGAGCGGTAAACAGCCTTTTTCTTCCTCTTGCCAATTTCTCTTTTGCTAAGAAACCCTCGGTTTATGGCCTGGAAGAGTCTCCCAGCAGCTGCTTTTCGTGTTACCAGCTCAGTCTTAACGCCGCTGTTTTGGTCTAATACAACTCCCAGGTATTTGAACTGGTTAACCTGCTCCAGTGCATACTGTCCCATCATGATCATTCACATCTTGCTGGTATTTAATACAGTTTGGATTCTTGACTCAAGTATTTTTGTTTGCCTATCACAAATGATAATGACCAGTCTTTTTGTACACCAATATTTATTGAGATTTTATTTATAGATGATATGGCCGGTTCATTGCATCAGGTGGCATTCTTGGCATTTTTGCTGTATCATTGAGGGGGACGGCTCATAATCTTTTCTGGTTTGTCTTTGTTGGAACTGTGGCTACAGTTCTCGCTGCCTCTTGTGCTGTTTAAACAAACAACAAAATTTCATACCAGAATGAACACTTGCTTGCAGCAACCTCCCATTTTTCCGGATCTGTGCTTGATCTGTTTAGCGAGATCCTGAGATTGTCCTTGAAACATTTATTGATATAATGACATTTATTTGTGTACTCTTCCACTTTTTCAGAAATGTCCTTAATTCTTGTACTCCATTTTTTTAAGAAATGTACTTTATTTATATATTTCTCTTTTTGGTTAAGAAGTCATTTCATTCATTCATTAGCTTCTCTTTTTGTGTTGGAAGAAATTTACTTTACATAACCAAACCTTAAGCTTTGTTAGAAGACATTGCTTCATTCATGTAATCTTCCCTGAGCTTCATGTGCAGAATTTCCCTCATTCGTCTAATGTCTCAAGAATTAAATTCTTTTAAGCTGCAGATTGCCAGTGTGGTCAAAGCGAGCTATACTAAACAAAAAAATGTATGGTGACAAGAGTAACCTAGGACTTACTACTTGACTATAGGCCAGAGAGATGTGGTTGTTTAAAACCGAATGTAGAAGTCATACAGTTTGTACTATATTTGTTATTGACAAGCATAAGCAGTGTCACAACACTCCAACACGCACATCATCCTAATGATGATAACATTGACAGATGAAAAATGAGCTGTTTAATTTTTCAGGACGAAGTTGTGCCAGAGGCGAGCGATTGGTTAGCTGGTGACAAGCTGTATACTGCCCACATCAGCAAGGCTCGGCATTTTGTTTGTGTAGACTATCCTGGAGTCATACAGAATCAAGACAGGGCCTTGGCTACAATGGGAGGTCTGGATGCATTATCGAAGGTACAGGAAGCTTGAAAGATACATCAATGGCATGATCAAAGCCAACATCTGTATTCGGTTCTTCATCTTCGGTTTTTTTTAAAAATTGTTTATACTATCTGTTTTGTCCATTATTTGTTGCAGTGGTTCAAGTCATAAATGTCATCCAATCTTGTCTGGTGTGAGATTTTGTATTCTTCCATTCATTCATGGCTGTTTCCACTTGTTGTCCTATGTTGTGAGAGTGTCATGAATTCCTTGTTTTCAACGGTTTAACCATTCACCTTTTCTCATGTTGTCACAGCTCAATTGCGTAACTTTTAGTGGACAAACTGTCACTGTGCAGAAAGAGATAAGTTTTCTAGGATAAAACGCATTGCATTTAAATCAGTTCTTTTACCTTCAAACCATTTACAGCAATAGCAAGCAATAAAAGACACCACTCAAACAGAACAGTCTATCAACTTTTTGCAGCTGGTTTTAATGAAGGACCCATTTTCACAACTTCAGGTGTATTGGGCATATAGGGCTAGACCTAAATTTTATAGACCAGTCAGCACTTTGACCATCACGCTGGCCACCTTTACTTCTCAGGAATGTTCATGGTACCCCCTCAAGGATGGGTTTTAATGAGTGTTTTGTATTTAAATTTGATGCAGGTCATATCAGAAGATCTCAAATTAGAGCTGACCTTCCGACCCAATGACCCCTATTGCAAGCCCACCTTGGGCAGCTATAACCCTACAAGAAATCTACTGTTAAAGATCAGAAGAAGGTTAAAGGTCACTGAAGGAACATCAGCATGCAGCTCAAGTTCTGAAGATACATTTGAATATCAGGTGGAAGTGGTTGGAATTGTTGACAGAGTGTACATATTTGACAGTAAGTGTATGGTAGTTATGTTTCAAGACTTTTATGTAGTCGTGTGAATGTTTATTGTTGACAGTGTACATATTTGACAGTAGGTGTATGGTGGTTATGTTTCAACACATTTATGTAGTCATGTGAATGTTTATTGTTGACAGTGTACATATTTGACAGTAAGTGTATGGTGGTTATGTTTCAACACATTTATGTAGTCATGTGATTGTTTATTGTTGACAGTGTACATATTTGACAGTAAGTGTATGGTGGTTATGTTTCAACACATTTATGTAGTCTTGTGATTGTTTATTGTTGACAGTGTACATATTTGACAGTAAGTGTATGGTGGTTATGTTTCAACACATTTATGTAGTCATGTGATTGTTTATTGTTGACAGTGTACATATTTGACAGTAAGTGTATGGTGGTTATGTTTCAAGACTTTTATGTAGTCGTGTGATTGTTTTATTGTTGACAGAGTTTAAATATTTGACAGTAAGTATATGGTGGTTATGTTTCAACACTTTTATGTAGTCGTATGACAGTTTGTTTATTGTTGCATACTGCTTAAGGCTGTCTAGCCACAACATTCATTCTGGCAACAGAGTGTTGACTGAAGACTGTGCTAATCTCTCCTAATTCAGTGTAGTAATAAGTGGATTGCAAATACTACTACCTTAAATGAAGTGTGCTCTCAGGGTCCTCCAAAAGGTAAAGAGAATAAAGGACACACTTAAACTGATTGTATCGTTATTGACCCTGCATGTCCCTGGACCGTGATTGTTACCCAACGACCGGGCTGGCAATGTACCTGTGAAAGAAGCTTTATGGAGAAGCATGATCTGAGAATGCGTGCCTGAAGGATGAAATGTAAAGGTGCGCCACGTAGCAAGCGTCAGCACAAGGCTACTGTTGATAGCACATGGGTGGTCAGAGAATGATGGGCAGAGTGAACCCCACTCGCCCGGAGAGGCCCAAGGCGTCTGTCATGGAGGCGCAAATTTGCAACTCTCTGACAAAAAGTGGATGAAGATCAAGTTTCCACCCGCAAGCGTTAGGGTGTCATGGTGCGAGCTGGATGGTATTCTATGTTTCTGTGTGAGGTTATTAATGATGAACTTGAAAAAAAAGTCGCTAGATGATAAGTTTTGGTGACATAATTTGCACTCACTGCACCCCCGAGTTCAAGAAAATCAAGAGGATGCAGCCTGGTGTCACGCACAAAAGAAGCAGAAGGCAGAAAGACATTGAGAAGTGTAGAGCAGACAAGAATGCACTTAGAAAATGGTTTAAAGCTGCTACAGGCAGCAAACCGAAGGGACTGTATGAGGTCTGGCTACACCTGAAGAAGTCTTGGCTGCCTCTAAGATTCAAGTTATCTGATAGAGTGGAAGCCCGGCATATACTTGGGTCACTGGCATCAGGCCTGCTTGCTGTCGAGCAATGCAGGCTGAACGGAAAGTTCAATGTTTGGTGTGTCTAATTTATGTTGATTCCAAAGCTCCTCTGGCCGCTGCTAGTGTATGAAGTAAGCACGAGAGCAGTGCAGGCAATGGAGATAAAAATCGACTACCGCCATGAGGAAGTGACTTGGAGCACCATCCTGTCTGGCCGATGTGGCTTTGTGTTGTAAGCAGGCTAAGCTGGTACTTCTGTTTAAGTCTGAATATCTGAAGAGTTAAAGTCAGCAGGGTAAGACTCATGATGGTGCTGCACGAGTCCTCAAACCCCACAGTAGCCGCCGTCCTGCACGCTCTAAAAACAGGTATGAAATGGAAAGTCCTAGATGTGTTAGAATCTGCTTAGAAAGCACTGAAAATGAAGAAAGCCATGGGTTACACACAAACCGACTGACACGGCTTAGGGCAAGGAAAAGTCACTTGGCCATCCAAAGCCTCGGCCAAAGAACACAGAGACATGGTGATACAGCAGATAAGGGACACTAAAAACAAGTTTCAGGTCCAAAAAGCTACCTCATCAGTCACAGCATGGCCAGTGGATCGACCTTGAGAGAACCTTGCCACAAATACTCACATGGGCTGAGATCTGGCGAATGGCCCCTCTGCGGCCCTAGCTTTGTCATAAGATCTGCCTGTGATGTGTTACCCATTGGTGCCAACGTGGCCAAATGATGTGCAATCACTGACTTACATGTTCCCTATGCAGAGCTGAGCAGACACTGGAACACATGTTGTCAGTGTACAAAAAAAAACCTTAGTCCAGTGAGGAAAACTTGGCGCCACAATAAAGTCTTGCAAGAGTTAGCTGACATTGTGGACCAAGCCAGGATGAGGGCCAATGCAAGAGCCAGTCCTGACGTCCCCCACATGCGCTTTCTCAAGGCTGGGCAGATTCCTAAAGGTGAATTCAACAAATGCTCTATCAGTACTTGACTGTACGAAGGACTGGTTACTGGCGGTTGACCTGCCTGGTTTCGAGAAATACTCTGAATCAATCCCAAGAGACCTGAGACATGATCTGCATTCTGGAGAAAAATGCCAGCTCATCATGAAAGAGCTTATCATACTGTACGAGTCGCGGATTTAAAAAACCCATCTATAGAAGCTCAAAAAGTGCAGAGGTTTAGTGGCCAGTATGAGGAGTGAGGAGGCGTACACAGCAAAACGCTTTGCCATTGAGGTAGGCGCAAGAGGACTTATCTCCAGTTCCACATGCAATGTACTAAAGCATCTGGGAAAAAACAGGTACTAAAACTATCGGGTGAATCTAGTGAAAGAGCTTTGAGCTGACTGTGGACGCAACAGAATGTTGTGGGGGATGGGCATCAGTAGTCTGGTCTGAGCTCCTAGTGGAAAGGAATTTTACATCCCTTAAAGCTAGAGTGTCTAAGTAACGTCTGCCAGTGTCTGTTTGCCAACTTGCCTAAGTCTAACGTCTGTCCGATGAACCAACTTGCCACTCTGGTCCTGAAGGTCATTGTCTAATTTGCTACCGCAGCGACAAATATATAATACCAAACATCACAATACTTATTGCAAAGCCACCTCTTTATCTTGTCCAGCGTCCGTTAAGCACAGCAGGAGATGTCCGTGGCCTGGAGTCATAAACCAGGCTGGCCCACTCACTGAGATAGTCTAGGAGGATAACGGGCTGAAACAATTGTTGACGAGGGACCCACCTAATGATAAACTTTAGGCTCCTGCTGTGCATGCTTTCCTGTGGAGTTCTTATTAATATTGCCACTTGTGATTTTGACCTTGGAAAGCTGACCATACCTGCCAATTCATTTTTACAACACCTCTTTTCCTCTCTACAAAGTCTCTCTTTCTCTAAATAAAACCTCTCTCTCTTTCTACAAAACCTGTCTTCCTCTTAGTCTTTTTCTCTCTATAAAACCCATTTTCCTTTCTACAAAACCTCTCTTCCTGTCTACAGTCTCTCTTTCTCTCTGTAAAACCCCTCTTCCTTTCTACAAAACCTCTCTTGCTCTCTACAAAGCTCTATAGTGTTTTTGAGGGAGACCAGTAGATCTTATTACATGGCCGTAGCATTGCATTTTCTGTCTTTTCACTGTTGAGAAGATGTAAGACCTTATGTATTTAAGTGAATTTGCATAAAGATGTTGAGATATTTTGTTATGTCTCATTGAAATTGATGTTTCAAGTCTATTTGTTAATTGAGTCTGTATGTTTTAGATTGCAACACACCTAGAGAAACCGGGAGAGTTTCAGTAAATAGCCAGTTTCATCATCCCATTAAGTACTATAATCATCACAAATGGTCACAACTTAAACATTTCCTGTACACAAGCAGTGAACACAGACCAATCTCACTAGTCAGTTCATGTTTCCTATTGTCTTTCTTGTGCAGAACTCTGTGACTTCCAGTTCCTCCCTGTAGTCAGGGAAGCAGATGGCAAGTACACTGAGATCCTGTCAAAAATTCGTCCAAACATTCGTGATGATCGCATGGAGTACCTGTCTAGAAATATCCCAGTGTTCCTGCCGCCATATTCCTTCTCAAGACGAGATATACCTGTATCATACAGCTTTGATGCAGAAACCCTGAACCCTGGCGATGAGAGTGAGAATGTTATCGGAATAGGTATTTATTATCATTGACAATAAATTGTTTTTGTTGTTGGTATTAGGCAATTTTAATCAAAAGTGGCTTTGAAATCCAGTAGAAATGTGTTGTGGATAATTATTTCAATGGTGTCGAAAGATGACATAGTTCTATCTGATCTCCAGATAATGAATTGAATACCTAGTCTTTTTGGACAAGGACCACAAACATGAAGTCCTGTGTACATGTTGAAAATTCCTTATTGGATGAAACTCAAAAAGTGCAGGATGTAAGGTCACCCCCGCACATTTCAGCATTAGAAACTCAATTACTCTGAATGCCATCTAAAGGTAGAAGTCGAAGCACTTAGGGATAGTCTCACAGTGGGAGGACACATGGGTCTTGAGTTCAGTGGGATGACACATGGGTCTTGAGTACAGAGGGATGACACATGGGTCTTGAGTACAGAGGGATGACACATGGGTCTTGAGTACAGAGGGATGACACATGGGTCTTGAGAACAGTGGGATGACACATGGATCTTGAGTACAGAGGGATGACACATGGGTCTTAAGTACAGAGGTATGACACATCGGTCTTAAGTACAGAGGTATGACACATGGGTCTTAAGTACAGAGGGATGACACATGGATCTTGATTACAGTGGGATAACACATGGGTCTTGTGAGCCCCTAAAAAGAAACAACCAAAGATAATGTCCTCAAGCAAAACCAAATGTGAGCCACAAAAAGAAACAACCAAAGATAAGGTCCACAACCAAAACCAAATGTAGAGCCACAAAAAGAAACAACCAAAGATAAGGTCCTCAGTCAAAACCAAATGTGAGTCACATAAAAAGAAACAACCAAAGATAAGGTCCTCAGTCAAAACCAAATGTGAGTCACAAAAAGAAACAACTGAGAAACTGAAAATATAGTAAACAGAATACCATGGCATCATCATTAATAGCAGTGAGAATTTTAATTTTAGGCTCACTGATTAGTTGTTGACATCCAGCATTCTAGAATGCTACGGCGTTGGGGACCATTTTAGATTTGTCTAAAATGTTGGATGTTATCACTGAATAATTTAACACACCCGTTAACTGGGGCTGTATCAAGTGCCAGCTCTCAAGTTCTTGAATGTTCGACCACGCGGTCAAAAGATCTTGGATTTCAGCCATGCTAATACTTCCAGATTTCCCTTCTTCCTCCCTGAAAGAAATTGTTTCTGCAATTTCTTCCTTCTGGTGAAGGTGTTGAAGTTTTTATGTTGTCAGCTCAGTCGCGTGGTCAACACATCCAAGGGGGCTTCGAGTCCTGAGACAAAATTGTGTTCATATTTAAAGTTTTTAGAGCTTTGAGTTGTTTGAATTCTGAGGTACTCACTGTATGTTGATGATTCAGATGCTCATAAAACATACAGAAAGTGAAACAGGAAAATTGATTCTATAATTTGATGCAGTTATGTAATGTAAATTCATTACTTATTGTAATTTATTGTTCAAAGGATAATACTTTTCTCAAGTCCTTAGTCTCTCTCAGCAAATAGATATCAATTGTTTTTGCTCCATGAATGGAAAGACACAAAGGTGCCAACTGCATTTCCTCGACCATCTGTCTGAATGTTAGTGCTTTGTAGGGTAAATAAAATAATGGTCATCCTGGAGTCTAGGGCTTTGAAGTGCTAAGTTTTTATTTGTACATTAACCCTACCAGACAAAAGACCTTGAACATAAGTCCCCTATACCTGAGCTCCTGGGCATTAACGTGAAAAAATCAACATGACATACAGAAATATTAGTTACATGCGAACCAGTGGTTAGAAAAAGTTGAAACTTGGAGACATTGTAGAAAATAGGTTTACCATTCATCTAACGCTATATTCCATCTTTGCATATCGATCTATGCAGCAGGATCAGCCTTGTTTTATTTACAAAGTGAGAACCAGATGTTGCTGTTTGAGGGACATGCCCCCTTCTCTTACTATCGATCTAGTTCTAGATCTTTAAGGTTCAAGATTCTCCTCGAGCTCTCACTGTCTGTGTCACTTGAACTGAGAACGTATTCTTAATGAAATTCTGACTCCTCAGAGTCTGAATCAACCAAAGTATCAATCACCTGTTGGACTGTGAAAAGCTTAGACCTACTTGCTTTCCTGTCCAAGTGCTTGGTTCATCAGCTGCTCGTTTCATTGTAAATTTGTAGAGTTTTTTTCCATATTAAGCCATACAAAGTAAATCCAAACACATGGGGGCAGCCATGTTTCAATGACTTACCATGAGGTTTGATCACGATCGGTTGATTATTTTAGTTTGTAATGCATTTTTTTCACGTAGTACGCAAAGTACCGAAAATTAGGTACAGCCGTTTAGCGGCAGATTAAGAAATTACAGGAAAAGCGGTACAGCGGTCTTTTAGCGTTAGGTAATATCATTAGCTTGTTTACTCACTAATTTTTAGAACATAAGTAAATGTATATTTGTGTTTACAAACCTTTCTCATTTCAGATAGGAAGAAGAGGATGCATGGTGCGATTCACATTACTTTTGGTTATCCTGAAGTCCCGAGGGATCCTGATCCCATTGCCTTCCAGCATTTAGAAAAGTTGCCCAACCAGACTGATGGTCTAGAGGCACTCAGTAAGGTAGCTCAACATTTTCAGTCTGCTTATATTTCCTGGCCTGTCAGTTATTGTCTGAATGCAACTTTTAGGAGTTGACTTTTCAGATATACTTTTGTTTGGTATCCAAGCTAAAGTTTTTTTATCCTAGCTTGTTGATTATATATCACAGCCTGTTAGGTATGTATCCTAGCATGTTGATTATGTATCACAGCCTGCTAGTGGTATATCCTAGCATGTTGATTATCTATCACAGCCTGTTAGTTGTGTATCCTAGCATGGTGATTATGTATCACAGCCTGCTATTTGTGAATCCTAGAATGTTGATTATATAATACAGCCTGCTAGTTTTGTATAATGGCATGGTGATTATCTATCACAGCCTGTTAGTTGTGTATCCTAGCTTGGTGATTATCTATCACAGCCTGTTAGTTGTGCATCCTGTCATGATGATTATATATCACAACCTGATAGTTGTATATCCTAGTGTGGTGATTATTTATCCCAACCTGTTGTGTATCCTAGCATGTTGATTAAATATTGCAGTCTGATAGTTGAAGATTCTAGCCTGAAAGTTATATATCCTAGCATGGTGATTACATATCACAACCTGTTAGTTGTGCATCCTAGCATGATGATTATATGTCACAACCTAATACTTATATATCCTAGCGTGGTGATTATATATCACAGCCTGATAGTTGTATATCCTAGCATGGTGATTATATATCACAACCTGTTGTGTATCCTAGCATGTTAATTATATATCACAGTCTGATAGTTGAAAATTTTAGCCGGATAGTTACGTATCCTAGCATGGTGATTATATATCACAGCCTGATATTTGTGTATCCTAGCATGTTGATTATATATCACAGTCTCATAGTTGTAAATCCTAGCGTGATGGTTGTGTATCACATCCTGATAGTTGTATATCCTAGCATAATGGTTACGTATCATTGCCTGATAGTTGTATATCCTAGCATAATGGTTATGTATCATTGCCTGATAGTTGTATATCCTAGCATAATGGTTACGTATCATTGCCTGATAGTTGTATATCCTAGCATAATGGTTACGAATCATTGCCTGATAGTTGTATATCCTAGCATGCTGGTTGTGCATCACAGCCTGATAATTGCATATCCTAGTATGATGGCTGTATACCACAGCTTGGTAGTTGTATATCCTAGCATGGTGGTTGTGTATCCCAACATGAAAGGAAATCAGTTAATCACAGTTCCAACTCAGCCTAATAGCTGGGCGATTGAACTGTATACTTTCAGTCCAAAAGGAGGGAAAACACATAACTAACTGTGGTCAAAAGCAAATAATTTGCCAAGACCAAAACAGTCAGCTGCTATTCACTCTATTGGACCAGAAGTTCTAACATAATGTTATTTTTTGACACACTTGTTGCATATACTAGCACTATAATGAAGTTTCCCAGCATTAACCCTTTCACTGCTGTGGACCTATTTCACACTGCTACGAGCTATGCACATCTTTGGACTTTATCTGGTTTCTTGGCTGTCACTGCTATGGGAGTGAAAACACATTTTGGACTTTCCTTACAGATTCTGAGGACCCTATTCTCGTGGATCAAAGGGCAGTGCGTATTGGCATATTCAGATCTAATTGACCCATTTACATACGAATAAACACCTCGCCATGTGATTTAATGATTCTTTTCTTTTGGTGGTATGCGACTGGTACATCCGGCTGCACTTTTGTCGTACCTTCCCCTGCCAGTTGATCAGCTTTCTCATTTCCAGGCACTCCACAATGAGATGGAATCCATTGCATTACAACTCTTCGCTGAAGGCTAAGTTCTGTCAGCAGTGTCAGATTGTGGACATGTTTGATTGAATGATTAGTTTGACTGTTGTCTAACACAGTTGTTATATATCATAGCACATGAGTAATGTTTCCTGGTGCCCACACTTCAAAAAGCTGTAATCATTATAATACATGTACAAACAGCATCTGTCATTAGATATGGACATTTGTCATTACATGTTTCAGCTGTTCGAGAAGCGACATCTGTGGAGCAAGGCCGCGCTGGTGGCTCATCTGGACAAGCAACACACCATGTACCTCAAGTACCTGCTGCCACTGGTCTCCTATTATTTCATCAATGGGCCGTGGAAGAACCTCTGGTGCAAGTTTGGGTATGATCCCAGGAAGGATCGTCAGGCTAAGATTTATCAGACTCTGGACTACAGAGTCAGGTCAAGTGAGTCTTCTTCTTGGCATTCACAAGCTCTAAACTCTAGCAGAAAGTTCTAGACTCTAATAATCCTGTACCAGAACTTTACATGCCCATCCTTTTTACAGATCTGACTTACTTGTATGCAGACTGTTGGTTCCTTGCCTCTTGGGCAGATGCACTTCAACTTTGAAGGAAGCTACTAATTAGTTGAGCCCTACAACATGCTTTTTGGATAGGCTGTGGGTCTGTTTGTGTTCCCTACACTAGGGCACAGGAACCCATTTAGAGAGATCTCGTGAGTGATTGTGGACATCGCTTCCGGTCAAAATGGACGATAGGCAGGGGGCTGTCTGAAGCCGAGGCAAATTTTTTGCTTTTGCCGGACGGTGGCCGATGCATTTTTGCTCCATTTGTAGACAGGGTATGGTTTTGTTGCCCAGCTTTTGAGTTGAATGCATGGCGTAACACTGAGCTGCAAATTTCATTTGGAATGTTTTTTCGACTGTGACCAACGTGGTGGTGTGAATTGTAGATTCAGAAAATAGCATGATGCCTGTCGTCGCAATGTTGGTGGTGCCCGTATGTGATTAAAATTGATCGCTTGGGCAACTGCTGATCTGTTGGTGACTTCTGCTACCATCAATGATGAACTGCATTTCTAATGTCAGACTGTTTGTGTTAGCACTTCGGATGGCTACTGTATGCTTTAATGTGTGTGTATGCTAGATATGCTGAGACAGCAGTCTGTCAATCTTTCCACAAGGGACTGTGATAAACATTATGTGTATTTTTCGTTGGCACAGGAGCGGAGCAAAGATGGGGGTGACCTGTTTGCTATGAAGCTGAAACTAAGACTACCAGATTGTGGACATGTTTAATTGAATGATTAGCTTGACTATGTCTGACCAGTTGATAAGAGATTGTGGACATGTTTGATTGAATGATTAGTTTGACTATGTTTCATTGAATGATTATTTTGACTATGTCTAACCAGTTAATTACAGATTGTGGATATGTTTGATTGAATGATTAGTTTGACTATGTCTAACCAGTTAATTACAGATTATGGATATGTTTGATTGAATGATTAGTTTGACTATGTCTGACCAGTTGATAAGAGATTGTGGACATGTTTGATTGAATGATTAGTTTGACTATGTCTAACCAGTTGATTACGGATTGTGGACATGCTTGATTGAATGATTAGTTTGACTATGTCTAACCAGTTGATTACAGATTGTGGACATGTTTGATTCAATGATTAGTTTGACTATGTCTAACCAGTTGATTACAGATTGTGGACATGTTTGATTGAATGATTAGTGTACTATGTCTAACCAGTTGATTAGAGATTGTGGACATGGTTGATTGAATGATTAGTTTGACTATGTCTAACCAGTTGATTAGAAATTGTGGACATGTTTGATTGAATGATATAGTTTGACTATGTCTAACCAGTTGATTAGAGATTGTGGACATGGTTGATTGAATGATTAGTTTGACTATGTCTAACCAGTTGATTAGAGATTGTGGACATGTTTGATTGAATGATTAGTTTGACTTTGTCTAACCAGTTGATTAGAGATTGTAGACGTGGTTGATTGAATGATTAGTTTGACTATGTCTAACCAGTTGATTAGAGAACAAACAAACGAACAAACTTTATTTTTTAAGGGTTACAAATTTGGCACGCAGGCCGTCTTACATTCGGCCCTTCCAAACACCCGTCTTTCACACTGCAGCTGTATTTTATCAAAAAGCATGTAATATTTATATGATAATATGCATACTATGAATATCAAAAAAGAGAAGAAAAAAAAACACACAAAAGAATGGGTAGTAAAATGCATGCACGCGCACACACCCATACACTCACACACCCACGTACCTTCACATACACATTAACACACCCCATTCACCCACATACAAAGCTACAAATCCACACAGACACGCACATTCCACACACATACAAACATACAGATTTAAAAACAGAGACACACCCATAGAAACAAATGCAGACACATACACACAAACAGACATACACACACATACCCAATCACACACGCTGATACACACACATGTGACACACACACACACATACACACACATGTTGACACATCCAGAGACACTACACACAGAGACATACACAGATATATACACACAGAGAGGCGCATATACACAGGCAATTATCCAGACATACAGGCACATACAAAGACACACCCACAAACACAACAAAGACACACGCATACAAACACACAGCTACATACACGTGGAACACATATACAAGCAAACACACGCACAGACACATGTAGACACAGATACACATACAGACAGTCCTACACGCGCAAACACACACATACACACAAACAAACACACACAGACACACATACATAGATACACACCCACAGACACACAATACAAATATCCTTACACACAGAGACGCACGTATACACAGGTATTCATGTCAACACACAAATACACACAGGCACATACCAACACACACACACAAACACAACAAAGACACACACACAGCCACACACACATAGAACACACAGACACGTAAACACATTCACAGGCTCATGCAGACGCACACACAAATACTCTTTAGACACATACACTCAGTCATACACACACACACGCACACACACTGACACACAAACATACATACATAGATACACACCCACAGACACCAAATATTAACACACGCAGACACAAAGATACACACAAACAAACACACATAGAGATTGTGGACATGTTTGATTGAATGATTAGTTTGACTTTGTATAACCAGTTGATTACAGGTTGAGGTCAAGGGGTCAAATCAGCTGATTATATATTATATGATATGTCTGGTCAGTTGATTGCAGTGTCAGGTCTCATCAGTTCAGTTATATGGTCCATTCATTTATGTTTGACTAGTTGGTTACATAGTTGTTTAAGTATGTTTGATCGATTTGTTGCATAGTTGTTTAAGTATGTTTGATCAATTTGTTGCATAGTTGTTTAAGTATGTTTGACTAGTTGGTTACATAGTTGTTTAAGTATGTTTGACTAGTTGGTTACATAGTTGTTTAAGTATGTTTGATCAATTTGTTGCATAGTTGTTTAAGTATGTTTGATCAATTTGTTGCATAGTTGTTTAAGTATGTTTGATCAATTTGTTGCATAGTTGTTTAAGTATGTTTGACTAGTTGGTTACATAGTTGTTTAAGTATGTTTGATCAATTTGTTGCATAGTTGTTTAAGTATGTTTGACTAGTTGGTTACATAGTTGTTTAAGTATGTTTGACTAGTTGCTTACATAGTTGTTTAAGTATGTTTGATCAATTTGTTGCATAGTTGTTTAAGTATGTTTGATCAATTTGTTGCATAGTTGTTTAAGTATGTTTGATCAATTTGTTGCATAGTTGTTTAAGTATGTTTGACTAGTTGGTTACATAGTTGTTTAAGTATGTTTGATCAATTTGTTACATAGTTGTTTAAGTATGTTTGATCAATTTGTTACATAGTTGTTTAAGTATGTTTGATCAATTTGTTACATAGTTGTTTAAGTATGTTTGATCAATTTGTTACATAGTTGTTTAAGTATGTTTGATCAATTTGTTACATAGTTGTTTAAGTATGTTTGATCAATTTGTTACATAGTTGTTTAAGTATGTTTGATCAATTTGTTACATAGTTGTTTAAGTATGTTTGACTAGTTGGTTACATAGTTGTTTAAGTATGTTTGATCAATTTGTTACATAGTTGTTTAAGTATGTTTGATCAATTTGTTACATAGTTGTTTAAGTATGTTTGACTAGTTGCTTACATAGTTGTTTAAGTATGTTTGATCAATTTGTTGCATAGTTGTTTAAGTATGTTTGATCAATTTGTTACATAGTTGTTTAAGTATGTTTGACTAGTTGCTTACATAGTTGTTTAAGTATGTTTGATCAATTTGTTGCATAGTTGTTTAAGTATGTTTGATCAATTTGTTGCATAGTTGTTTAAGTATGTTTGATCAATTTGTTGCATAGTTGTTTAAGTATGTTTGATCAATTTGTTACATAGTTGTTTAAGTATGTTTGATCAATTTGTTGCATAGTTGTTTAAGTATGTTTGATCAATTTGTTGCATAGTTGTTTAAGTATGTTTGATCAATTTGTTGCATAGTTGTTTAAGTATGTTTGATCAATTTGTTACATAGTTGTTTAAGTATGTTTGATCAATTTGTTGCATAGTTTGGTCAAGCATATTTAATGAATTGATTGCATGGTTAGACTAAAATTCTCTCTGTGGTAGATTAAATTGTTTTGTCAGATGTTATCAAAATTTTGCAACTAACTGCCGTCCTCTTCTTCAGTTAAATGTAAATATTACACTGGTTATCTCTTGATTATTTGCCCATGTAATATGAATCAAATGTGTTCAGCTATGGCTGATGGTAATGCCAGGTTTTGGTGACACTGTTGATTTCTTTTATTCAAGTGGCTAACAGGCAAAAAGTAGAGGCTAAACGAGGGCAAGAGGTTTTAAGGATTTCTCATGGGGGACAGAAGCCACAGCGAAATACAGCCTTGGTTCAGGTAGACCCTTCAGGCAGCTCACAGGCAGAACTAGCTACATCTGTGGTAAGTTTCTATTTACAGTTTACATTCCCATTTATTTATGTTTGTATTTACCCTTTACGTGAACGATTCAGTTTGTGCTAGTTCTTCTTCTCCACTTCTTTAAGTTACTACCTCAAAGTGTGTGGAGAGAAGATGTAAGGATTCTCTGTGTGCCCTTTTGTATAAATTAGTATTTAGTTCCTTGAGGCTGTTCTTGATGTCGTCATTTCTTTTTCTGCTGGTTCTTCCCCTTGCTCTGTGTCCATTATGTTTCTTCGTCATGGCTCTCTGTGGTAGTTGGTACCAGGACATTTACATCAGATGGCCAAACAACCTCATCTGTTGCTCTTTAATCAATTCTATCACTGGTGTCAGTCTTAGTCTTCTTCTTATTTTTAATTTTAAATGTTATCTCGTTTTTGCCAATCCTGCATCTTTTCTGAGACATCTCATCTCTTTTTTGATTAGTTTGGACTCAACTGTTTTAGTAAGAGTCCATGTTTGACACTGGTAGCATAAAACTGGCCAAATAATAGTTGTTAGATTTGGCTTGGTAGACACAACTCCTTGACTACATTGAACAGCTCCTTGACTTTTGTGAATATCACATTCTCATTCACTATTCTCATTCACTATTCTCATTGACTATTCTCATTCATAAATATTTAATGGTCCTAGACGTGGTCATAACAAACCTGGCGAACATTGAGGCAGAGAAAACTGTCACAGTTTTATCACATTGTGTGTTGTGTTCTCTAACTTTTCTGCTAGTTAAATGCACATAAACAGCTTGTGCTTACTTTTGATGTCTCATCATCACAGTTGTGATAAATGGAGGTTTTATGCCCTGCATTTTTGCCACAGGTACCCATTTTCTGCACCTCCTTTGGGATTTCATCAAGGCTCCATGAATGACATTAAATGTTAGGGCGAGACCGTTCTTGACCAAGTCCAGGATTAGTATTCCTAAGCCCAACCAATGTGCACAATCCGGCCTTACCATTATCACTCTTCTGTTCTTTTTTTTTTTTTTTTTTTGTACGAATGGATGCTCCTTTTTTGCGAATGGATGCTACTTTTTGTGTGAATGGATGCTACTTTTTGTGTGAATGGATGCTCCTTTTTAGGTGAATGCATGCTCCTTTTTGTGTGAATGGATGCTTCTTTTTGTGTGAATGGATGCTCCTTTTTGTGTGAATGGATGCTCCTTTTTGTGTGAATGGATGCTTCTTTTTGTGTGAATGGATGCTTCTTTTTGTGTGAATGGATGCTCCGTTTTGTGTGAATGGATGCTCCTTTTTGTGTGAATGGATGCTTCTTTTTGTGTGAATGGGTGCTTCTTTTTGTGTGAATGGATGCTCCTTTTTGTGTGAATGGATGCTCCTTCTTGTGTTAATGGATGCTCCTTTTTGTGTGAATGGATGCTTCTTTTTGTGTGAATGGATGCTCCTTTTTGTGTGAATGGATGCTCCTTTTTGTTGGAATGGATGCTCTTTTTTTAAACGTATTGTGCAATATACACAGCTCTGGTCGTGCTGGGAACTTTGATGGTGTTGGGCTAGAGACTCACCTGCAGACCTGGCTGTCTTCAGTTTGAGTTTGCATCAAGTCAGATTTGTTCCACATCAGCCCAGTCTAAATGGGTTCCAGGTTAAGTCCTAGGAAGTAAAGGCAGCCAGCTTTATGTTGACCACATTATCCATCAAGCTTTTAGGGGGTCTCCTTGGCACTCTGAAGGTCGCGGTTCGCTGCACAGCTGCGCCCTTCAGCTTACAAGTGCAATCTTTACACTGGGGATCATCGCCGGAGCTCCGGAGTTCATGCTCTGCATGGTGCTCTCGGCGTGCATTCTGCAGATAGAGACTGAGTGATATGGGATACACCCGGTGTATACACAACTTTAAAGACCAGTCAGCTCTCGATGGGTTAAAGGTTAAAGTTGAGAGGATAGACTTCACTGCACCGGGTGTATCCCATATCAATAGTACAACAGTACTTTTTTATTCCTTGTCTATTTTTTAGCCTTCCTTTATTTTATTTTATTTCATTCACTCCATATCACATTCTTTAAAAAGTTGCTCATATCACCCCTTAGAGATTTGAATACTCTCCTCTTTGTTACCATTGTGTAGTTAATTACGTGTTCGAGAAAGGCCACCGGCTGAAATGTTGTTTTGTGCACCTTTATCTGCTTTCCCATTTTGTTAAGCTTTTTAGTCATATTTCACTGGAATTCCTGGTATTGAAGGTGTAAAGGTAAAGTTGGGAGATGTGATCCAGCGTCATTGCACACGGTTATAAACCATAAGTGCCATGCCACCAGTACGGTCAGCTGATAAGAAACTGTCTGCCTATGTCGCTGTCCGCATGCAACTCCGTAGCTACAGCGATGTTCCTCCATTTACCCCAGAGTGTTAATTCTGGTACCCATTACCTAGAGGCTGGGTGAACCCTGAGAACCACCTGGTTTTGAACACCAGCCGTGGGCTGCAGTTACCCCCATATTTTTAACCCTTTTTGGCGCAAATGAGCACGCCATGGGTTGCTTCTGAAGGAGGAAGACATGTTAACTGATCAGCTACCACCCACATATAGCTGGGTGGACCCCTGCCAGTAAGATATTGATCCGACACAGCATGTGTGCTGCGATGAGTGTATGGGTTATGTTACACCTGGAGAATAGAGAATAGTGGGGTCCTTAAGAAAGTCCTCTGGTGAATTAGAGACGGGTAAAATATGTCTAGGTCGGCCTCTACTTCAGTATAACCTGCAATTGTTGAGTTATATGTTAAAACTGTGTAGCCATCTGATTGTACTCTCAGTTATATGTTAAAACTGTGTAGCCATCTGACTGTACTCTCAGTTATATGTTAAAACTGTGTAGCCATCTGATTGTACTCTCAGTTATATGTTAAAACTGTGTAGCCATCTGACTGTACTCTCAGTTATATGTTAAAACTGTGTAGCCATCTGACTGTACTCTCAGTTATATGTTAAAACTGTGTAGCCATCTGACTGTATTCTCAATTATATGTTAAAACTGTGTAGCCATCTGACTGTACTCTCAGTTATGTGAGAAAACTGGAGCTCTAAAGTGTGGCTTTATACTTATTTAGCTGATTGTTCCCAACATGAAAGGCAGCAGATCCATTTAGGGTCTTCTGCAGTCACGGCATTGGTATCAGAGTTTCCCCTCCGTGCATTGTGGTTTACAACTAGGCTTTGATATCTGAGCCTATCAACCCAGCACAAATGATTTCATCGAACCCTTCATTAGATACCCTTTATGACATGATTGTCGGGGTCAGTGGGTCTGTTATTCTTGTTGCCTGTATTGTCTTGTATCCTTCTGAGTAAATAGTCGTCTATCCTCTGAATAACGATCCAAAATTATTGAGGCCGAAAATATACCCCAACAGGGCCTCAGTCACATGTAAATTGCTGACTTCTGGCGACCACCACCGAGACTATCTCCCGTGCCGCAGAGTGGGGCTAAACTAGATGGCTGGGACTCACGAGCAAATAAAATGAAGCTGCAGGAGATGTGGTAGTTGCTGCTCGTGAGTCCCAGCCATATAGTTTTGCGCCACTACATGCGGTGCCGGAGATTCTCTCGACGGTGGCGCTAGTCACCGGAAGTCCGCAATTTACATGTGACTGAGGCCCTGTTAGGGTATATTTTCAGCCTTGATAATTTGGTACCGTTATTCGGAGGATAGCCAAATAGTCTTTCATAATCTCATCTTTTCTTGATCATTCTTTTCTTGTATACAGTCACTTACGCATATCTTGTCAAATGTCTTGAAGTTTTCATGCATACAACTGGGGTGACCATTTGTATGTCTGCAGGACTTGACCTACATCTTCCACCCAGACTACATCCCCATCTACAGACAGATGAGGTACCAAGTCTGTGATGTGCACCACCCAGAGGTGCAGCGACGGGTGCATGAGAATGATGGACAGGTAATCGTCATAATCGTAGAAACCAAACAAAAATGTCAAACTTGGTCCTCTTTCAGCTGCCCGAAGGCCTGCTTTATTGAAGACAGTTTCTTTGCTATCTGATTTAGTTTGATTCGTTGTGGCCATCATTTTCGCCTAAGTTCGGGTATTTGCTGCTGCATCATGTCTGCTCGATCAGGTTTGGCTGGTGTAGTCCAGCTTTTTGGGAGGGGGTGTGGCAGCCCTAAGAAGGGATGGACAGGTATGTCTTGAAATAGTATTTATATTCCAGTGTCTTTATCTATCCTTAGAGTGGACTGTTATAACTCTTTAATGGTGATAGAGCAGCCATGTATTTGCCGTCTGTATGGACATCTTTAGTTAATTTCACTTTGATTTCATTGACTGGTCAAGTTACCTTGTTTTTTTGTCCATGTTATCTTAGAGACTTGAGAGTCACCCACTGCTGTACCTGATGCTTTAGGAAGTGAGACAGCTTTTTATTTGTGGAAAATTTGCTTTATGACAGTCCAGAACCACTTTTCTAAACCGTTCACCTTTAAGCAGTAGCTATCGACCTTCCTAATGCTGCGACCCTTTAATACAGCTCATCATGTTGTGGCGACCCCCAATCATACAATTATTTTCATTGCTACTTCATAACTCCAGTGAATATGTGTTTTGCAATGGTCTTTGGTGACCCCTGTGAAAGGATAATTTGACCCTAAATAGGGTCAGGACCCACAGGTTGAGAACCGCTGCCTTAAAGTCTTAGGGAGCTAGTGCTCAGTGACTTCTTCAAAGAGATTAAACACACAAAATTTGTGTGTCTGTCTGTACATTTTCAGTGAACTAATAACTCCTCCTAAATGATGGCCAGTAGACGGTTTAAATTTGCAGAGGCCATTCTGGCTAAAATTTCAAGTTCAGCAGTGATATTGGCAGCAAGGTTTATATTCATTTCTGACAACTACTTTAACAGTGACTAAAAATTAACATTCGCTGGCGTTATATCCATTTGAGTATCTCTTCTCTTACGTCTCTTGAAATAATTAGTTCTAAAAAGTTTACATATTGCTGTTATCTCCCTTCACAGTTTCAACATTAAGCTACCAGTGCCAAACCTGGACACTGTCTAAAGCCCATATAAGCAAAATCACCACCTGCAAGATGAGGTGCCTGAGAAAAGCAGCCAACCTAACCATACGAGATCGCGTTAATTTTTAAACTATCAGGCAAACTGTGGGAACGACACCTTGTACTAGATTCATCGAGAAACAGCAGATTAAGTGGTTTGGCCATCTCGTTAGAATGCAGCAAGATCAATTACCATCACAAGCACTACATCTCAGAAGAACAAGAACAAAAGGACGGCCGCAGAAAATATGGATCGACAACATTAAAGACACTGCGCCTTCACGGCATGACGATAGCCAGTGGCAACCAACGTGCACTGGATCACAAATTATTTTTCCTCCATGACACTTAATGGCAGAAGTGGTTGATGATGATGATAGTTTGACCTTGGAGGACGGTTCCAGTATCTGAATTAATTAATTGCTGAGGCAGTATCATACATCATATTGGGGGGGGGGGGGGAAGGGGGATATTAGAGGCTACCTAGACTGATTGTTCCCAAAGGGGGCGGTACCACCCTTTTCGGGGTGCTCGGGTAGTTGAGGGGTGGTAGCGGCATCGCTCAAATTTGTGGTGCATTGGATCTGGCCAGGGAACAGTAGATTTTCAGTTTCATTGTTCTCCAATGAAATGGTAGAGAGAGGGGTATCTTTATCAGTCCCATTTTAGGGCATCAGTCCGAAAAGTTAGCCTGAATCATGGTCCTTCCCATTTCTTGCTGTCTCATACAGCTCTCTCCACACCTTCCTTCCAGTTATTTATCTCTGTCTCTAACTATTGTCTGTGTTTTAGGTCTCCCTCTGTTTCTTACACCCTGTGTGTTCCAAAGGAAGAACTTTCTATTGTTATTCACTGTTAACATATAGTACTAACATATGTCCTGTCTGTCAGTTTTTGATAATGGCTGATAATGTTACTTTTCAGGAAACTGTCTGCACTGAGAGAGATGGATGGTGTGTTCCAGACTTTACAGATGTCTGCCGAGACATAATCAGTGAAGCTGTGGAGAAATTGTTTGCTAGTGGTGCTAGTTCTGTCTGACATATTGTCTGTCAGTTTTTAATAATGGCTGATAATGTTACTTTTCAGGAAACTGTCTGCACTGAGAGAGATGGATGGTGTGTTCCAGACATTACAGATGTCTGCCGAGACATAATCAGTGAAGCTGTGGAGAAATTGTTTGCTAAATTATGTTGTTTTTCAAATGTTGATCATGATTGCATGTATTTATTATGTTACATAATATACGCTGGAGTCCAATTTGTAGCCAAGACATTACATAACTTTTGGAAAGAATTCAGTGCCTTTGTTTCAACATAAGCTTCTGTGTTGATCATGTAAATGTGTCATGCTCATTTAGAGCTTATCGCTGCAATATTATGTTTTTTTGGCCAACACATCCAGCTTCTCCAGACATGTGTTGACCTGGGTTAGCCTTTCCGGAAACAATAGACTGTAAATGTGGAAGTTATTTTTCAGATGAAACAGTAAGCTGCATTTCTGTGAGTTTAGTTAGCTGTGGCAAGTGCAGTTGCCTGTTTACCTAGGTGGTAGATTTCCAAGACCCATTTGAGTGGGGGTTTTTCTTGTTCATGCAAGTCAACCCAGGTTAAAACAGGAACTAGAAAATGTATCTAGAAGTGTGATGTTGATGATATCGCACAAAGTGTCACCTGGTGTCAAATATGCACTGTATGACCAATTTTTGTGATGACATAAAAATTTGCTTAATATTTTAGTAATGCTAAATACACAAGAGAGGAGGTTGCGGATAGATGTGTACCAGTGACACATGGTATGGACTTTAAGAAGAAAAATGCCAACTACAGAAAAGACACAGATGTTATGTGTACACTGTCTGTGTTTATTTTAGATTTATTTTCTTACTCATAAAATCTTCTTCATTTCTGAAACTTTGAACTTTATTTTCTTCACTCATGCTATAATGCAAAAATGTCCGAGTGTCATTTACACTAGTTGCTCAGTAATCTGTGTACGGCACTGTAATCATTGTACGTGTAAATCTATACACGTTTTATCTTCTTCTGGTTTTTGAAAAACAATATTGACCGTCATGTAAATCTAAACATATTTATCTTCGTTTGGCCCTTAACATATCTTCTTCTTTTTCGCATTCACCGGCTGTAAACTCTGGAGAGTTCTCATTGTTCATCTACTTCTTGACTTTAGTCTTGTTCCAGCAACTTAAGTTTTTCATGGAAATCTGTTTTACAGATCTGGCTTATTTGTATGCAGACTGTTGGTTCCTTGCTTCTCAGGCAGATGCACTCTGGCTTTGAAGGAAACTGCTCAGAGGTTGACTCTTACAATGTGTTTGTTTAAGGAGGCAGCGGGTCTACTCTTGTTTTGTGTTTCTTCAGGGAGGCAGCGGGTCTACTCTTGTTTTGTGTTTCTTTAGGGAGGCAGCGGGTCTACTCTTGTTTTGTGTTTCTTTAGGGAGGCAGCGGGTCTACTCTTGTTTTGTGTTTGTTTAGGGAGGCAGCGGGTCTACTCTTGTTTGTGTTTTTTGTTTATTAGGAGGCAGCGGGTTTCTTGTTTAGGGAGGCAGCAGGTCTACTCTTGTTTTGTGTTTGTTTAGGGAGGCAGCAGGTCTACTCTTGTTTTGTGTTTGTTTAGGGAGGCAGCAGGTCTACTCTTGTTTTGTGTTTGTGTTTGTGTTTTGTTTAGGAGGCAGCAGGTCTACTCCTGTTTTTTGTTTACACTCGCAGGCAATGCACGCGCAGTGTTTAGGGAGGCAGCAGGTGTGTTTTTAGTTTTTAGGGAGGCAGCAGGTCACTCTTACAGTGTGTTTTGTTTGGGAGGCAGCAGGTCTACTCTTACAAATGTTTATGGAGTTTACTCTTTTTAGTGGTTTGTTTAGGGAGGCAGGTCAGGTCTTCTATGTTTGTTTAGGGAGGCAATGCAGTTCTACTTTTGTTTTTGTTTGTTTTAGGGAGGCAGCAGGTCTACTCTTGTTTTGTGTTTGTTTAGGTGTTTAGACTGTGTTGTTTTAGGGAGGCAGCAGGTCTATACTTACAATGTGTTTGTTTAGGGAGGCAGCAGGTCTACTCTTACAGTGTGTTTGTTTAGGGAGGCAGGCATTCAGTACTCTTTAGTGTAGTTTTGACACAGTCTACTCTTTTTTTGACTAAACAGCAAGGTCTACTTTCTTTTGTGTTTGTTTAAGGGAGGCAGCAGGTCTACTCTTACAATTTGTGCTACTGGTCAAAATCAGATTTCTACTTATTACAAGTGTGTTGTTTAGGGCAGGATCCCAATCTTACAGGTTTCAGTATTCCTTGTAGGGTGTAGGCCAGGGTTTTTTTTTTGTGTGTCAAAATCTACAGTACTGATTTGCTCAGGGTCCCACTGTGTGTGGTCAGAATTCCCACTGGTTTTGTGTGCCAGGCGGGTTCCGGACTGATCAGTACTGAGGCCAGGGTTCCACTGATGTAGCCAGGGTTCCACTGATGTAGCCAGGGTTCCACTGATGTAGCCAGGGTTCAACTGATGTAGCTAGGGTTCTGCACTGATGTAGCCAGGGCTCCACTGATGTAGCCAGGGTTCCACTGATGTAGCCAGGGTTCCACTGATGTAGCCAGGGTTCCACTGATGTAGCTAGGGTTCTGCTGATGTAGCCAGGTTTTCACTGATATAGCCAGGGTTCCGCTGATATAGCCAGGGTTCCGCTGATGTAGCCAGGGTTTCACTGATGTAGCCAGGGTTCCACTGATGTAGCCAGGGTTCTGCTGATGTAGCCAGGGTTCCGCTGATGTAGCCAGGGTTCCACTCCTATGCTACAGCTGTAGTTTTATGATTTGTATAATTTCCTCTCCCACCCCCTACCCCACAACTCCCACCCCCCCCCCCCCCCCCCAGACTGAGATTGTGTATGTTGTATAATCTCCCATGCTATGTATGAGATTGTGTATGTTGTATAATCTCCAATGCTATGTATGAGATTGTGTATGTTGTATAATCTCCCATGCTATGTATGAAATTGTGTATGTTGTATAATCTCCCATGCTATGAATGAGATTGTTGTGTATGTTGTATAATCTCCCATGATATGTATGAGATTGTGTATGTTGTATAATCTTCCATGCTATGTATGAGATTGTGTATGTTGTATAATCTCCTATGCTATGTATGAGATTGTGTATGTTGAATAATCTCCCATGCTATGTATGAGATTGTGTATGTTGTATAATCTCCCACACTAAGACTGAGATTGTGTATGTTGTATAATCTCCCATGCTATGTATCAGATTGTGTATGTTGTATAATCTCCCACGCTAAGACTGAGATTGTGTATGTTCTATAATCTCCCATGCTATGTATGAGATTGTGTATGTTGTATAATCTCCCATGCTATGTATGGAGATTGTGTATGTTCTATAATCTCCCATGCTATGTATGAGATTGTGTATGTTGTATAATCTCCCATGCTATGTATGAGATTGTGTATGTTCTATAATCGCCCATGCTATGTATGAGATTGTGTATATTGTATAATCTCCCATGCTATGTATGAGGTTGTGTATGTTCTATAATCTCCCATGCTATGTATGAGATTGTGTATGTTCTATAATCTCCCATGCTATGTATGAGGTTGTGTATGTTGTATAATCTCCCATGCTATGAATGAGGTTGTGTATGTTCTATAATCTCCCATGCTATGTATGAGATTGTGTATGTTCTATAATCTCCCATGCTATGTATGAAGGTTGTGGTATGTTGTATAATCTCCCATGCTATGTATGAGGTTGTGTATGTTGTATAATCTCCCATGCTATGTATGAGATTGTGTGAGTTGTATAATCTCCCATGCTATGAATGAGGTTGTGTATGTTCTATAATCTCCCATGCTATGTATGAGATTGTGTGAGTTGTATAATCTCCCATGCTCACACTGAGATTGTGAGTTGTGTAGTCTCCCACACTGAGAGCAGTATAATTTCCTAAAGAAGTATAAAGCTATAGAAGTAAAGACTTATTTGTACTTATGCCTCATAGACTATACAAAATCATTTGACTGTGTAAAACAATAAAAAAGTAATTCAAACTGTTAAACATTGATGGGAATTATTCCTAAATGTGTAATAAAAGTCAATGGTGTTATTTTGGGACAAGTACAGAAACTTTAAGTAACTGGGCACAAGGATAACCTCAGAGATAAGAAACGAAAAGGACAGGCAAAAACTGCATTTTATAAAATGGACATCCTCTGTCATTGAAGGTTAGAAAAAAAATTCCTTGCTTGCTACATTAATCCAGTTTTAACATATGGCTGTGAGTCCTGGATAATCAGTAGGTAGGCCAAACAATTTCTTGAGGCCTCAAAGATGTGGTTTTACAGAAGAATGCTTAGAATACCTTGGACAGCCAAAAAGAGCAACCAGGAGGTTTTGAAAGCGGCGGGAGCTCGAAGACAACTTATCACAAACATCAGAAGGAGACAGTCATCATTTTTCAGCTCAGCCATGTTAAGGAAGACGTAAATGGATATTTTAGGAACCACTGAAAGAGGGTGATACGGAGAGGAGGAGAAAATCTTTGACAGTCTTGTAGCATGGCGTGGAGGTGTGTCAGCACACAAACTGATAGGCCTATATGCTGCAGAAAACCGCGGATTGTGGAGAGGCATGATCGCCCAAGCCAGTCGGCAAGGCCGATGATGATGATAATTTCCTACGGTAAGACTGAGAATGTGATGTTGTATAATCTGCCACATAAAGACACAGACTGAGTTGTAATCTGCTAGGCTAAGAATTAAGGTGCATAAATTGAACACCTTGTTTCGTGACGAGATCTTTGGACCCATCAAAAATGCAAACAGAGGTGAATGAATAGTGAGAAGCAACAACGAAATTCATTATCTGTTTAAATCACCACTGATCACTGGCATCATGAGAGCTAATAAACGGAAATGGTTGGGGCATATTGAAAGAATGTCAGATGACAAGTAAAAACTGTAAACACCAGGGAGATGAATGGTCGTAGACCACGAGGCGGACTAAGAAGACGATGGAGAGATAACG